AGATAAGGCTTCAGTGATTTGCCCATGGTTATCCAATCTGCATAATTCAAACCCAGGTCTTTTCTGATTCTAGATTCAGTCCTCTCTCAACTCTAATACACACACAAAGAGGGAGGCAATGGTACAATGGCATAAAGAGACTCTAGAACCTAATGCTAGATCATCATCTGAATTTAATCTAGAGTAATCATCTGGAATCATAATCTGGTTTGAAATCCTGCCTCTAATGGTTGCTACCAGGGTGACTCCTTAGATAAGTCTCTTTACCTCCCTGGGCCTCAGTTTCCTCATCTGTCAAACGAAGATTAAATAGCTCCTGAGCCCCCTCCCAGCTCTAGCACTGACACACTCTGATACTCTGGAACACTCAAGCAGTGATGCAGAAACACATTGTATCTTCCTGTGGCTTCCCTGGTATCCTTTCTCCCATCTATTCCTCCCCTCCCTCCCTTCTCTAGAGCAACTGTTCCAGATTAGCCTTAAATTAATGCAATATATGCATTAGATGTCTTTAGTAACCACTTCAGCAGGCTTTCTGGTCCTTCCAGACCTGCTTCTTAAAGGGCTCATGCCCTTTTTCTTCTGAACTATGAAAACATGGTTGTGCTCAAAAACATCAAAAGTGGTTTTATTTAAGCCCATTTAATCAACTTTATTCACATAAAAGTATACAGTTAAAGGCTAAGTGTTGGCCACTGATCAATTTTGATCAGGTCAGTCAGTCAATAAACATTTATTAGATGCCTACCATATGCCAGTCACTGTGCTAAGCTCTGGGGATACAACTATAAAAGAGAAAGACAATCCCTGACCTCAAGGAGTTTACAGTCTAATGGAAGAAGACAATACAGAAAAGGAAGCTGAAGAGCTCAATGAGAATACTGGCAGACAGTCATTCTTGAGAACAACAGGGTATTTTTTTTTAATATTTTATTTTCCCCCCAATTACATGTTTTGTTTTTGTTTTTAGGCATTTGGGGTTAAGTGACTTGCCCAGGGTCACACAGCTAGTAAGTGTCAAGTGTTTGGTCTGAGGCCGGATTTGAGCTCAGATCCTCCTGACTTCGGGGTTGGTGCTCTATCCACTGCGCCACCTAGCTGCCCCCCAATTACATGTTAAAGCAATTTTTTTTAACATTTGGGTTTTTTTTTTTAAGTTTTGAGTTCCAAATTCTATCTCTCCCTCCCCTCTTCCCCACTTTGAAACAGTAAGCAATCCAATATAGGTTATACACATATAATCATGTAAAACACTTCCATATTAGTCATGTTGTACAAGAAGATCAGGAAGAAAGGAAGGAAAGAAGGAAGGAAGGAAGAAAGATAATATGCTTCAGTCTATATTTAGACAATATCAATTCTTTCTCTGGAGGTGGATAACATACTTCATCATGAGTCTTTTGGGCTTGTCCTGAATCATTGTATTGCTGAAAGTAACAAAGTTATTCACAGTTGATCATTGTACAATATTGCCATTACTATGTACAGTGTTCTCCTGGTTCTTTGCATCAGTTTCATATAAGTCTTTCCAGGTTTTTCTAAAATCATCCTGCTTTTCATTTCTTTTTTTGCTTTTATTTTTAGTTTTCAACATTCACTTCCATAAGATTTTGAGTTCCAAATTTTCTCCCCATCTTTCCCCTCCCCCCACCCCAAGATGGCATGCAATTTGATATAAACTCTATATATACATTCATATTAAACATATTTTCACATTAGTTATGTTGTAAAGAAGAATTAGAACCAATGGAGAAACCACGAGAAAGAAGAAACAAAAAAAGAAAAAAGAGAGAGCAAATAATGTGCTTCGATCTGCATTCAGACTCCACAGTTCTTTCTCTGAATGCAGACAGCATTTTCCATCATAAGTTTTTTGGAGTTGTCTTAGATCCTTGCATTGCTAAGAAGAGATGTCTATCAAAGTTAGATGTTAGATGTGGCTGTTACTGTGTACAATGTTCTCCTGGTTCTGCTCACTTCACTCAGCATCAGTTCATGTAAGTCTTTCCAGGTTTTTCTGAAGTCTGTCCATCATTTCTCATAGCACAATAGTATTACAGTATATTCATATACCATAACTTGTTTAGCCATTCCCCTATTGATGGGCATCCCCTCAATTTCCAATTCTTTGCCACCACAAAAAGAGCTGCTATAAATATTTTTGTATATGTGGGTCCCTTTCTCATTTGTATGATCTGTTTGAGATTCAGACCTAGAAATGATATTGCTGAGTCAAAGGGTATGCACATTTTTATAGGCTTTTGGGCATAGTTCCAAATTGCTCTCCAGAATGGTTGAATTAGTTCACAACTCCACCAACAATGCATTAGTGTTCCAATTTTCCCACATCTTCTCCTGCATTTATCATTTTCCTGTTTTGTCATGTTAGCCAATCTGATAGGTGTGATGTGGTACCTTAGAGTTGTTTTGATTTGTACTTCTCTAATCAATAGTGATTTAGAGCATTTTTATATGACTATAGATAGTTTTAATTTCTTCATCTGAAAACTGCCTGTTCATGTCCTTTGACCATTCATCAATTGGGGAATGACTTGTATTCTTATCACTTTAACTCACTTCTCTATATATTTTAGAAATGAGACCTTTATCAGAGACACTGGTTGTAAAAATCTGCTTGTCATTTCTTATAGCACGATAATATTCCATCACAATTATATACCACAACTTGTTTAGCCATTCCCAATCGATGGGCATCCCTTCAATTTCCAATTCTTAGCCACCATAAAAAGAGCTGCTACAAATATTTTTATACAAATAGGTCCTTCCCCCCCCTTTTATGTCTTTGAAATGTAGACTTAGCAGTGGTATTGCTGAATCAAAGGGTATGCACGATTTTATAGCCCTTTGGGCATAGTTCCAAATTGTTCTCCAGAATGGTTGGATCCAGCTGGGTATTTATTAAGGTCACATAATTTAATTCTGACTCTGAATCATGTGTCACTAATGATGACTCTCGTCTTTGATTTCAGCAGTTTAATAACAGAAGATACCCTTTAAAAATGATTATTTATATCATTCTTTTTTTAAAATTTTGAGTTTCACATTCTCTTTCTCCCTCCAGCCCTTCCCCAGTCCCCATTGAGAAGGCAAGCAATATGATATCAATTATACATGTGAAATCATGCAAAACATTTCCATATTGACCATGTTGCCAAAAAAGCAAGAAAAATCAAGAAAGCAAAAAATTATGCTTCAATTTGCACTTAGAGTCCATCAGCTCTTTCTCTGGAGGTGGATAGCATTTTTCTCATGAGTCCTTTGGAATTGTCTTGGATTGTTGTATTGCTGAGAGTAGCTAAGTCTTTCACAGTTGATCATTGTTACAATATTACTATTACTGTATACAAGGATCTCTCAGTTCCGCCCACTTCGATTACATGAGTTCATATAAGTCTTCCAGATGTTTTCCCCCCGACATGACCCCCCTCATCATTTGTTATAGCACAATAGTATTCCATCACATTTATACACCACAACTTGTTCAGCCATTCCCCAATTGATGGGCATCCCCCCAATTTCTAATTCTTTGCCACCACAAAAAGAGCTGCTATAAATATTTGTGTACAGAGAGGTTGTTTTCCCTTTTCCTTTATCTCTTTGGGATAGAGACCTAGTAGTGATGTCGCTGGGTCAAAGGATATAGAGTTTTATAGCCCTTTGAACATAGTTCCAAATTGTTCTCCAGAATGGTTGCACCAGTTCGCAAGACCAACCGTGCATTAGTGTCTCTATTTTCCCACATCCATCATTTTCCTTTTCTGTCACATTAGCCAATTTGATAGGTATGAGGTCATACCTCAGAGTTGTTTTAATTTTCATTTTTTTAATCAACCATGATTTAGAGCATTTTTCATATGACTACAGATAGCTATGATTTCTTCTTCTGAAAATTGCCCATTCATATCCGTTGGCCATTTATCAGTTGGGGAAAAGAGGGTTAATCACGTGACCAGAGACTTCAAGTAGTCAGGTTCCACGGACCACAGCTAGGTCTACAAACACAAGTATCTGGTGGGTTCTTCACATCCATTAGAGCAGGGGTTGCTGATGGATTTCAGGGGGTCTCTGAGCTTAGATGGGAGAAAAATTACATCTTTATTTTCACTTTGAATGGAAACTTAGCATTTTCTTCAATTTTATAGAAACTTGTTTCTGAGAAAGGGGTTTGCTAGATTGCCAAAGAAATCCACATGACAGGTTAAGAGCCTTTGTCTTAGAGTGTATTGGAATCAGCTCCCTAGGGCACCTCTACCACCTTAGCCCAGGCAGCGCTGCTGTTCTTTGGGCATCGATTGGTCCCATTGAATCAGATACTTATAGCCTAGGACTCTACCATACAGTCTGGCTAGCCAGCCTTAGGGTCAGCAGGAGGACCCTGAATGCTTCAACCCTGTTTCCAGAGTCCTAAGGTTGAAGCTTCTAGAGTATTCCTGGAGAAGGATGGAATGGGACTAAGGAGAAAGGAAGACCTATTATGTTCAAATGTTTGCTCAGATTCCAATTTTTCTTTACCCACTCTGCCAAAGTCTGGGTCAGGTGGCTTCAAGCTATCCTCTGTGTGAGCAACAGCAGAACCTATGCTAGAGAGACGGCAAGCAGGAAGGCAGAGTATCAGTGCTTTTTGTCCACGGTGGGCAAGGAACTGCCTGCAAGGCTGTTTTAGTGAATGTCTCTCCAGAGGTGGACCAAGGAAAGGCAGACCATTGCTGAAAGGTGATTTCAGAGCTAATGGACAAATGCAGAGCTCTGAGGGGGGAAGAATGGCCCAATGGAAAAAGTGCCCGACTTGCTTTCAAAGGACCTGGGTTTGATCCCTAACTCTACCACTTAGCAGCAAGTCATTTAGCCTCCAAAGACCTCAGTTTCGTCATCAGTTCAGTGAGGAGTTAAGTCATAGCCCATGTATAACATGGCCACCACCTAACTGGAAGTCATAGCCCACGTATAACATGGCCACCATTGCTCTCCTTCCACGTTAGGTGTTCATCTCCGTGGACGAGATGGATCCCCCCGACATGGGACCGAAGTGCCCTGAAGATTCCGTGGCTGGCACAGCACCAACGGCAGGAACGCCAGGTACCGCAATAGTGGAGCAGCAGCAATCTGTGGAATTCGACTCACCAGACTCAGGGCTGCCATCTTCCCGTAACTACTCCGTGGCTTCTGGAGTCCAGTCAAGCATCGATGATGGACAGAGTGTGGGTTTTGAGGAAGAAGACCAAGGAGAGGAGGAAGAGCTGTACCCATCTGCTTCTGGTCCCCGAGCCTCCCTGTACGAGCCCCCAGATCCTCCCCAGGAGGACACCCCACAGCCCAGCGAGCTGGGGGCAGGGGAAGAACTGGCTGCTGTCTGTGCTGCTGCCTACACTGTACGTGGTCATACCCTTCCCCCGCCTTGTCCTTGAGTCTCAGTGGCCCACATCCCCTCCCCACTGACCAGGAATCCCAGGGCAACTTTACCAATGGTTCTAGGCTCCTAGAGAGACCTCCCACGGTCATCTACTTCATCCCCCTACCTCTGGGTATGAGCAATCTCACAGGTCCTGGCAGATGGGTGCCGATTTTCTTCTCTGTGTGAGTTCCTTTGGTTAAGCCTCTCCTACCCATCCCTATCCTCTACAGACCTTGCCTGGCGGGGGGGGGGGGGGCGCGGGGGGGGGGACCCATAATAAAAGAGAACTTGAGTGAGGGGGAGGGGACAGTGATAAAGCCCTGGGAAACCCAACCCTGATGGATACTCGGGTCCTCCCTCAGATAGAGTTGCTGGACACGGTGGCTTTGAACCTCCACCGGATTGACAAGGACGTGCAAAGGTGTGACCGGACCTACTGGTATTTCACGCCCACCAACTTGGAGAAGCTTCGGAACATCATGTGCAGGTGCTGGCAGGTGGGGGGAGGCTCAGAGGAAGCCATCATGGGGGAAGGGAGAGCTCTGGGTCCTATAGTGGAACCTGGGAATATCCAAGCTAGAGGGAGGCTTAGAGATCATAGAACAGGTCATCTTGTCCAACCCCCTCATTTTACAGGTGAGGAAACTGAGGCCTAGAGAGAGTACATGACTTGTCACAGGAGTAGTAAGTGGCAGAGCTGGGATTTAACTTGATGTCATCTAGTCTAATCACATTATTTAACAAATGAGGAAACTGAGGAAACCCCAGGAGGTTAAATGAAAAGCCCAAGGCCACCAACAAGTTAGTGAGAAAGTTGGGACTGGAACCTGGGTCTCTGCCTCCTAGGCCGGTGCTCTCTTCCCAGGTGGTTTCCTGCTCTGAGAGGTTTGAAGGTGAAAAGGAGGGATCCTAATGGAGGAGGGGTGGCAAGCCCTCCCAAAACTCTTCCTTCTATCACAGCCTCTAAGGTTGTGGCTCAGCGGGCAGCCCTGAGCATCCAGAGAGAAGAGGACCGGTGGCATTGGGCAGAGGCCCTTCACAGGGAGGCTTTGGCCAACCTGCCAGGGATTGGGTGCTCCCTGGTTTTCAGGAGTGGGGTGGTCAGTCCTTCACTGATCAGCTTCCAGAGACCCAGAGAGCTGGCAGTTCCCGACACCAAAGTGGCCAGGAGCTTCCTCCCCCAGCTCCCCTCCCACCCCACTCACGTCAGTGGCCACAGCTGACCTAGATTAGCCAGACCCCCCTCCCTTTACCAGCAACAGAACCTTAGGGCACAGAATAGAAGGAGAGAAGGTGGTTATTTCTTTCCTGGGTGGTGATGATAATGGTTTCTTCTCCTCTTTCTCCTTCTCCTCCTTGTCCTTCTCTTCCTCCAAAAAAAAAAAAAATCCCTAGCACTATTCTCGATACATTGTAGATGCTTAATAAATGCTTATTTGTTGAGTTGATGGGGAAAGAGAGTGGGCCTGAACCTCGGGGTCAGTCTCGTTGACTAATTCTGCTTTCCTGGGCCTCACAGCTATGTATGGGAGCATCTGGATGTGGGCTATGTGCAGGGCATGTGTGACCTGCTGGCACCCCTCATGGTCATCCTCGACAATGGTGAGGGCTCCTGGGAGCCCAGGAGAAGTGGGAGGGAGGGTGGTGACTGGGACTTGGTACTCAGGGGTCCTGGGTGGTGATGGTAGGGTGGGGCAGGGCAGGGGGTGGGGTTGGTGTCATTTTATCTTATTGGCCACTGAAGCCAGAAAAGATGCAAAGCTGGTTCCAGGACAGCTGGGGTTCAACTCTTTGGGTCTCAGTTTCTCATTCTTTGAAGTGTGAATCTGGTCCCTACCTTGTGCCAGCCTTTTGACACAAGGTTTGGGTGGGAGAGATGATGTTTTGGACTCAGAGGCCTCAGGACACAGCTGGGAGATGGCCAAGGCAGTAATGCCCTCCCCTCGCTGGTGGCCCCAACACCCACTCTCCCATCAGATCAGCTGGCTTATAGCTGCTTCAGTCAACTCATGAAGAGGATGAGCCAAAACTTCCCCAACGGAGGGGCCATGGACACACACTTTGCCAACATGCGCTCACTCATCCAGGTAGGTACCTGCCACCTCAGCCGCCTGCAGTCCTCATCTGGAGCTGTCACATCCTGTATCTCTAGCCATGGATCAAAAGTCTATAGAGTAGCAGAGCTTTGAGGGGCCTGAGAGATCATCCAGTTCAACTTTTTCATGTTCTCAGAGGTCCAGAGAGGGGAAGGGGCTTGTCTGAGATCACACAGCTAGGAAAAGAAGCCAGGGTTCTGGACTTCCTAATTTAGTTCTCGCTGGTCATTGCTACTAAATCATGTGCTCCACTGTCTTTTATAAATGCTGTAGCTGCTCCAGTTCCTAGTAAATTGCTTTGCATGCTGTAGGTAATTAATAAATGTTTGCTAAAATCTTGAGAGGTATGACTAGCCTCTCAGGTAACAATTGGATATCAAATGCTTTCTGAATACAACACTCTGGGGATACAGAAATGGCAAAAATCATCGTGCAAATATTTTTTAAAATAGCTTGTAGGTGTAATTTGCTTTCATTTTTAAATGTGTTGTAGTAGTAGTCGTGGTGGTGATGGTAGTAGTGGTAGTAGTAATAGGAGTAGCGGTGGTGGTGGTTGTGGTAGCGGTAGTAGCAGAGGTAATAGTAGTAGTAGTAGTAGTAGTAGTAGTAGTAACCACTAACATCTAGTGTTCTAAGGTTTGCAAAGTGCTTTACCCATATTATCTGAGATAGGTGATCATTATCTCCATTTTACAGAAGAGGAAACTAAGGCTGATAAAGTTTTTATGACTTGTTCAGGATCACACAGGCATTTATTAAGCACCTACTATGTGCCAGGCACTGTGATAAATGTTATACAAATATTATATCATTTAATCCTTACAACCCTGGGAGGTAGGTGCTATTATTATTCCCATTATACATTTGAGGAAACTGAGGCAGACAGGTTAAGTGACTTGCCCAGGGTCACAGTCAGTAAGTGCTTAAGGCAGAATTTGAACTCAGGTCTTCCTGACTCCAAGTCCAACGCTTTATCAACTGGGCCACCTAAGTGCCTATTTTATTAATGTATTTTGATTTTTATACTACATTCACATCCCAATAATGCCCCCAGTACCCTCCTTTATAAAAGAAAAAAGATATTATTATTATTATTTTATAATTTTTCATTTAATTATACATCAAATTTGTTAATGAAATGGAGCTGGGAAGGATGGCTTACTGAATGATAGAATTAGATCCAAAAAAAAAAAAAAACTTAGTAAGTGTGTGTACTAGGTTGACTAACTGAAATAATAAGTAATAAGATTAAATAACAAATAATAAGATTACATTTATGGGGATAAATGTAAAAAATGAAACTTGGATTCAAAAAAATCAACTTCATAAATATAGGGTGGGGGAGGCAAAGGTAGACAGCAGATGTTTTGAAAAAGATCTGGGGGTTTTAGTGGACTGCAAGCTCAAGGGGAGTCAGCAATATGATGGGACAGGAGGAAAAAGTCATTGTGATCTCCACTGAGATAGCCTCCAGGAATGAGATGGTGATTGTCTTCCTGTGGTCAGACCATACTTGGAGCATGGGATTAAATTCAGGCCTCTGTGTTTTAAGAAGCCATTGCCAAACTGGATAGTATCCAGAAGAAGTTGGTAAGGCCAGGATGGTGAAGGACCTCCTGCGTCCATGCCATCTAAGGAGGGTTGGAGTGATTGGGAAAAGACTCAGAGTGGGGAGAGAGAGAGAGAGACAGAGTCATAGACTGTCTTCAAGTATTTGAAGAGTTGGTGGGTGGGAGAAGGCTTAGCTTTGTCCCGTTTGGCCCAAGAAGGTAGGCCCAGGAGGAATAGGTGGACCGAAGCTGCAGAGACCAATCTAGACTTGAGATCGGGAAAACCTTGGGCTCCCCAAAGTGGGTGGGGCTGGCTCCAGAGGCGGTGGGCTCCCTCTCCTTGGCCATCTTTGAGCAGAGGCTGACAACCACTTGTGAGTACTGCTTTCAGGTCTGGGTTGACCTAGAAGGCTGCTGAGGTCACTTCTAGTCCTGAAGTCATGATTCGGGGCATCTGTAATTCGCTTTAACGTTGAAAGGATCTATATGTCATTCCTTCACTTGGGGCTGGTGTTTGTATATCAGGGGGCAGCAACTGGAAAGTATAATATTCCACCAGTAGGGTGGGATTGAATTTTCAGACACCTGCCCAGAGAAGACAAGACAGGGAGGAACAGAGAGGGCAGTGAGAACAGGAGAGACACAGGTAGACTGCCAAGAATGCCACATGAATATAGAATGCCTCAGGCAGACAGCGAGGTCACACATACAGATGGATGGTTTTGAAGGGGTGTCTGAGTGGCTGTGGGTGCATGTCTCCAACCATGTGCATTCTGACCGACAGCTTGTGGTCACTTCCCCCCCCATCTGTTTTTCCTTCTCTCGATCTCCACCCTGTCCATTTCCCCCTCCTTCCATCTATCCTCCTTCCTTCTCTTCCTCCCTCCCTCCTTTTATCCTCCTTCCATCCATATCTCCCTTCCCATCGCTCTCTTCCTCTTTTTCCTCCTCTCATCCTTTCCCCTTCCTCCTCTTCCAGATCCTGGACTCAGAGCTCTTTGAATTGATGCACCAGAATGGAGACTACACCCACTTCTACTTCTGCTATCGATGGTTCCTGCTCGATTTCAAGAGAGGTGAGAGAGGGAGAGAGGTGGGGGCGGGGAAAGGGGTGAAGGGTAGTGAAGGAGAGAGAGACAGAGAAGGAGGGAGGGAGAGTGAGAGAGGAGACAGAGAGGAGAGAGAGAGAAATTGAGACAGAGAGACAAAGATGGGGGAAGGAAAGAGGAAAACAGAGAGAAAGAGATGGGTGAAAGAGGAGAGAGAGAGAGAGAGAGAGAGAGAGAGACTATTGCACAGTCCTCTCTCCTAGGGATCTCTTACTGGGGATGGAAGATTGATCAAAGGTGAAGTTAGATGGAGTACGGAAAACAATTCAGACAGGAAGGTATTACAAAACTCACTATTCTCATAGGAAAGATACAAGAAGCACACCCTTGGGTCTCAGCTTAGGCCTAGGTCACATGGCAGCATAGTAGTGGAAAGCTACAAGGAAAGATAGAGACCATTTAGTCCTGCCCTCTCATTTAAAAAAACAGAATTTTGTCAATATCTTTTGTTTTTTAATTTTTCAGTATTTCCCTCTCCCTTCTGAGATAGACATCCTTTATAACAATGAATTTAAAAAGAAAAAAAAAACAGTTCAGCAAAACTAAGCAATAAATCAGCAAAGTCTGACACTTTATACAGTGTTCCATATCCATAGTCTCCCACCTTTACAAAGAACGGAGGGAGGCACTTTCTTCTCTCTCATCTTTGGAGCCAAGGTTGGTCATTAGAGTTTCACAAGCTTTTTGGTTTTGACCATCTTGTAGTTTTTCTTTCCATTTACATCACTGGGTATACCATCTTCCTGGTTCTAATTACTTCACTTTGCTTCAGTGCATTTAAGTTTTCTCACGCTTCTCCAAATTTCTTCACATTCATTGTTCCTTACAGAGCAGTATTTTGTTACATGCACGCCCACAGCATGTTTAACCATTCTCCAGTCAATGGGCATTTACTTTGTTTCTAGTTATTTGCTACTACTGTAAGTGCTGCTTGAAATATATTGGTGTACATGGGTCAGTTCCCCTCATTTTATTCGTTTGTTAGTCTGACAGTCTATCCATTCATCCATTTTTTTTTTGTTTGTTTGAAACCTAGTTGCCCTCCCTCACCCAGAGGGAAGTGCAGTGGCTATTCACAGCATGATTCCAATGTTGATGGGCATGGAAATGTTAACCTACTCCATTTTTCCAATCCGGACTGGTTCACTTTTCTTTAGGCAGCCTGGTATCCTTCCACCCTACCCGCCCCACAGCCCCTGCCCCAGGGCTCACCAAAGGGTTGTCCAGCTTAATACAGACGCTAAACCAGCTTTAGCCCTTGTGCTGCTCAGAACTCTCAAACTCCAATGATTCACCAACCTCAGCTTCTCTATCAGCAGCAGGGATTACAGGTGTGCACCCCCACACCCAGTCAGCTCCTTTCATTTAACAGGTGAAGAAATTGAGGAGAAGTGGCAGAGCCAGAATTAAAACCCAAGACCTCTCTCCCTAAAGCTAGTGCTCTTTCCCCAATACCATGGGGCCAGACCTTTGGCTTCTTTGGAATTGAGCTTCCAAGAAATTCAGGGCCTTCCCCCTCAAGCACCAATGAGCCCAATTTGCTCAGCAGATCTGGTAGAGAGTGAATGAGATTGCCCACTTGATGGTGGCCTCGGATGTGAGCACAGAATTTTCTTTACTGACTACTGGACCTCTTTACAGGGTCCTAGGACCTTGTAGTCTTCTCTCTCAGGCTTAGGGATGTGTAACTCATCTGCCCCGCCCCAATCTTCCCCAATACAGAGCTGCTCTATGAAGATGTCTTTGCTGTGTGGGAAGTCATCTGGGCTGCCAGACACATCTCTTCTGAGCACTTTGTCCTGTTCATTGCCTTGGCCCTGGTGGAAGGATATCGGGAGATCATTCGAGATAACAACATGGACTTCACAGACATTATCAAGTTTTTCAATGGTATGAACCTGGGCAGGGACGATGGAGATCACCAAGACACAATGGCCAGTGTGTTTTTGCGGGTGGCATAGCAGATGGGAGCTGGCAGCAGCAGCTATATGTTTTCAGAGGTCACTGCATCCTAGGATTACAGGACTCAGGGTTACAAGAGCCTGCTGTGACCATCTGGTCCAACCCCCCATTTTACAGATGAGGAAACTAAGGCCCAAAGAGGCACAAAGTCATGCAGGTAGTGAGTGACAAAGCTGACATTTGAATCCAGGTCCTTTGACTGCAGATCCAGCTGGTTCCAGCTCTGAATCTAGGGTTCCTTTGACTGGCTCCATCAGCTCCCTCCCACTGCTGGCCCCAAGCAGGGAAGCTTCCTGGGAATTGAATGTGAATTGTGAATTGAATGTGAATACATTCAATGCCATATTCTTCTGGACAGGGCAGATAGCATCCAAGCCTCCCGGCCCCCCCTCCCCCCATCTGCCTGGCCTAAGGAATAACCAAATAAGGATAGGGCCAGTGGGTTCTAATTTGACTTTCTATCTATTGCTGCTTTCCCAACCCCGTTCTACCACACATACCTGTTGGCATGTACTCCCTGCAGAACGAGCGGAACACCATGATGCCCAGGAGATCCTGAGGATAGCCAGGGAGCTGGTCCACAAAGTACAGACACTGATTGAAAACAAGTGAAGCTGGCAGTGGCTTTGGTGAGAGAAGAGGAAGAGGAGGCAACCGTGGCTGACCAGGCTCTCCCGGCCCCCTGCACAGGGCAAGTGGAGAGGGTGGCCCTGTGGGGACTATCAGCACCCTCCCCCACCCCACCAACCTGAACCCAGAACCATGCTTCTGAGGCATCTGCCATGTAATGTAGAAAAATAAGTAATTTGGAGATTAAGAGATTGAGAGACTCCAGGCCTTCCCTTGAGTTGAGCCAGGGCTAGCCCACGGGACCTGCCTTTGGGACAGAGGGAGGAATGACTGGCATGTATAGAGCTCTCTCTGGATCTTGGCTGGGGGCAGCCCACACTGGAGCCCTGAAGCCTCAGGCCTATGACAGACACTTTCTGGGACAACTACCTCCCTTCGCACCCCCGCCCCAGCCCCAAAGAAATCCATTTCAGGGTCACCTTAGGAATAGACAGAGGCCCCAGGCAAGACTACTAGACACCTTGAAAGGTGTCTTGCCCTCAGGGGTCTAGCATGTAGAAAGGAATAGAGACCCATGGCTCTCTGAGGACCTAGAATCTGGCCTGAGATGTCCCTCTTGGATAGAGAGAAGAGATATTCAGGCCAGACTTAGGATGACTCTAGAGACTGCAGGGGGCAACACCCCACCTAATGCCCTCTGTTCCTTGTCTCTTCAAAGAAGCTGGGGAGAGGGACGGGTGGTCAGGCAGCTGCCCTCCTAGGCATAGTCACACTCCCCGTTTTTCTGGAGGCCAGACATACCCTGCTACACGATAGGGATGGGTGTTGGACCAAGGCTCTCGAAGACTAAGGGTGGGAGAAATTCTGGAGCTCCCTTCATGGGTGTCCTCTGCATTTCTGTGCCCATGTCCCAGTTTCCCAGTGGGATCCAAGAGACTAATTCAGGGAAGATTTGGTAGGGAGGGAGGAATGGGCAGGGTACAGCCTGGAGCTGTCCCAAGGTCCTCCAGCATTACTGCCTGCCTGCTTTTATAACCCCTCCACCAACACACCACCTGCTCCAGGCACCAGCCCCTGTGCACAGATATGCAAGTGTACCTCCCTTAGCGCATTCAGCTGTCCGTGGTCCTGAAAAATATGTAAAGCGAATCTCTAAGGAGAGCTCCTTTCTTAAAGGCTCCTAATGCAAATCCTTTTCTAAGAGCAAAAGCTTGAGCCCCAACCTGCTTGTAAATCCAGATTTCTGTATGTCATTGCTGAAACAGCACTTGCCTGTATGGAGAAGGCACAAGAGGTAGGAGACCACCCCCTCAGGGACCCTCCCCCGGAGCTCCAAAGAAGCCCAGGCTGCCTCCTTGCTCCCCTTGAACCCCACTCCAGAACATCCCCATGGAGTCGTACCAGGATGCTGGATCCTTCCACCTGACCTCACTGCTCTCCCTTGACCTTGCTGCTACTTGGCCAAGGCAGAGGGGGAGGGGGAGGTAGGAAGGCAGAGAAGCTCCAAGGGCATGGCTGGATCACCCCTAGGGTGGGGGAATGGGAGGGGGGAATAAGGGAGATTGCCTCTACATATCAGAGCCTTTCTAAGCCTCTGACCGACTAGCTGAGGCCAGAGCCCATAGCTGGGCACCCCTGGAGTCCTCTGTATTCTCAAGTGCCAACACTGCCCTAGGCTTGGAGGGGACCTTGATCTTGGCCCCCAACACAGCCGATTCTGTGGAATGTAGAGAAGCATGAGCAGGGCTCCTTGGGCTTCCCTCCCTCAGGATGCCACCTCAGATCAAGCATCTCTCAATCCCGGGGATAGAATGGGGGCTAGACTGCCCCTGCCTCCAATTGTAGTCTCCCCTCTGGAGGAAGTCCAGGAAGGGCTAACCCCCCAGGGCCTCCCTGCTCTTAGCATGCTTACTGTTATTCTGCACCCAGTTTCCTCCTTCTCCGTCTTCCCCCCCCCTTTAGGAGCCAGGTAGGTCCTGTTAGGTGAGAGGGGCATAGTGAAGGTGCACTTGCCATTTGGGACCTTCTGGAGTTCCTCTGTGGGCCTGCCGTGTCATTTACTAGAAAAAAGGGGAGATTCCCTTGTCTTGGGAGACGAATGCTATCCCTGGCCTGACCCTCCTCCTCTGCCCCCAGAGTCTGCACTGCCTGTTTAAGGGCCTGTCTGCCCCATCATCCTCTTGTGTACCGTGGGCCCCACAGCTCATGCCGTATGTGTGGGTGGCACATCTATGATGCCACATGTGCTGTCATGCGCCTGCCTTAGTGACTGGTGTTTGTGAGGAGCAGTAAGATAGCTTGGTTGGTTTCTTTTTTTTCCCTGGCTCAGATATTCTAATGCTGTCCATTGTAACAAAACCAATAAACACTGAGTTTGGTGACAGCTGGTGAGTTCGGGGCTTCAGTGATCAATGGATCGGGGAGTGGCACGAGGTGGGGTGAGGGGAAGGGCTGACTTAGGAAATGGAGCAAAGGAAGGGTTTTATAAACTCAGAAGCCCAAGGGAGAGAGCCAGGGTATCCTCAGCTTGAGGAAGTGTGCCAGTCTTTCTTTGGAAGAGATGGAAGGTGAGCATAAGGGTAATTTCAGGTCACGAGACCTGAAGAGGCAGTGCTGTGAAGTGTTGAACTTGGCATCACTGGACCTGTCCACTTCCTGTGTGGCTTTGGGCAAGTCATAACCTCTCTGGATTTCATGTTTGAAGTCCCTTTGAAATCCTTTCCAGTTTGAGATCTCAGAAATATCCACTGGAGAATTCAGAAATACATCCAGGGGATTGGCTCCAGGCCTACCATTCATGTAGTGCTGAGAGAAGGGAAGGGGGAGTCTGAGTCAAGTTACACCTTCTTGGCCTTGCACAAATATGGATGTACCCACACGCGCTTATCCCACATTATTCAGGTCAGCCTTCCCTGCACTAAGGGGACAGAGCTACTGACTTGGATAAATTTTCAAACTGTCATGCAGGTGCCTCCTCTCCCACCAGCTGGTGGACTGACCAGCAGTGCTACCTTGGCACTCAGAAATAAGTTTTTAATCCTAGTATAGACCTGGATTTGTCAGATGGCAGGCCCTCCCTCATTCAGGCAGAGTCCGTAGCCCCAGGAAAGCAGGCTAGGAAGGAAGGGATTTGCACCAAGGAATTAACCCCATGACACTCTTCAAAGCTCCTAGTGACAAGAGGAATGGGTGAACTGGGAGGGGGGACAAAGGGACCAGGGGAATGAGAAGCCCATCACAGTCTGCAACTTTGGCAGGGGACCCAGTCTCTATGTCTCTGTCCACCTCTATCTCCTTAACCCCAGAATCTGAATTAGCTGCCCCTAAACATCAGAACAACACTTCTTGCACATTTTAAATTTTGGTCCATAGCTGGGATTTCAGGAACTCCCAGTGTGGAAACTCCCCTTACCAATGCAGATCAGCACCTGCTCTGCAACTAATAACCTTAGTTGCTTGGAGCATAAGTGATTTGCCATCTAGCCTCAATACCACACTGCTACCTGTATAGTAAGTGCTTAATAGATGCTTATGAAGATTGGAGGCATTGTAACCCCAGTACTGGAAATTAGTGCTATCCTATAAGAAATCAGCTGTGGAAACCTCCCAAAAATTCACCAGTCAGCTTAAAACTTTGTCAAATACCATTTCCTCCTCCACTTGATGCTGAAGGCTCCTTCCTTCTACTTCTCCAGCCCCTCTGGGTTATAATTTCCTGAGTTTTAAAAGAGAGCCCAAATATTTGTTTGAGGAAGATGTTAGATCTCTGAGTGGTGGAGAGGAGGGTGGAGTGAGGAAGAGCATATGTAATTGATGTTTATAACATCTCCCTCATGGCTTGTTGTGAGGTTCAAATAAGATGAGAAAGATTATAAGTGTAAAAGAAAGAAACAAAGAAACAAAGAAAGAAGGAAGGAAGGAAGGAAGAATAAAACCTTTTGAAGACATTGGGATTATAAAAAATCATAGGGCTATAAGAGACCTCAGAAGCCACCTTTTCCAACCCACTCATTTTACAGATGAGGAAACTGAGGTCAAGAGGAGATGACTTACCCAAAATTATATACCTAGTAAGTGATCAAGGCAGGATTTGAACCCAGATCCTCTGTGTCCAAAGCTAGGGCTCTTTCTAATGTACCAAAATGCCTTTCCTCAAAGTGCACAGTGATTATGGCACTCATTGCTTCTTCCCTCTGCTACCCAAGCTTTTCAGTACAATGATTGGGCTTGGGGTGTGGGGGGAAAGGAATGAAGGTTTTGGGGCAAAGTGAGTTTTTGGTCCTAACACCATGGCTATACTCAGCACAGCCATAACCAGGGCAGGCAGGCAAGGACCTTTTCCAGGGTGCTGAAAGTTCCCGAGTGCTAACATACTTGCAATTCTTTAACAACGAGAAATATGGATCGAAGTTAGCAAAGTAATTAGGTGAGCCAGGAAACTACCAGCTGGTCCCCCAGACAGCATCTTAGTCCCCCCAAAGGCTCCGCTCAAGGTGATCTCTGCAAGTACGTGAGGGCATATATAGTGCTGCTGCTACTTGTCACAGGTACAGGGAGTATTAGTTTTGACTCTAGCATGCAGACCAGAAATTCATCCTTAATTTCTCTACTGTTATTTTTTCAATAATCTGGCCCCACACCTGGGTGAAGAGTTTTTCGGGGCCTTCCCAGGTCTTCAGTAGGTTGTCAACAACCTTTGACTTCCACTATCATCAGTGGTGAAGCGACGGAAGAGAAATGTCCTCCAGAACATCCCCAGCAGTCTTCCAGGGCTCAGTTTCCCTATCTATAAAAGTATGGAGCTGAGCTAGAAGACCCCTAAAATCTCCTTCCAGTTCTGACATTCTAGCCCCCTTCCCCAGCTCAGCTGATCAAAAAAGAAGAGTCTTACTAGGAAAACCTCTACTTGGGAAGCCTTCTCCGAAGGTCTCCTGGGCCAGTGAAGTGGCTTTGTAGTTCTAAAAACTGTCAATAGGGGGAGCCACTGTCTCATAAATAGGCATAGCACTTGGCGACCAGATGTGAGATGGAGGACCAAATCTTTTGGTATTGTTTTACCTTTAGGTTTTGGTTTTGGTTTCTCAAAGGGGTGGGGAGAGATGTGAGAAGTAGGATGGGACAGGAGGGTAAAGTCCAGTCAGGGCCCCAGGATGGCCGATCTATCAGCACAGAAATGAGAGCACAATAAGTGTGTGGGAGGTCGGAATTCAGTTCAGAGTGATATCCAACCAGAACGTCCCCTCCCTTGTGATACCCAATTCATTCACATTTCCTTTGACATCTTCCCCACCCCTAATGCTGAGATTCAAACCACAGACCCACCACCTTCCCCAAGCTTCTGAGTCAGCTGGTTTAGAGCAGAACTCTAGGGAATTGGCTGGGAGTGGGCGAAAATGACCCATATGCAACCACCTCTCAGAATCATCCTAGCCCCACAGCTGCAGAAATGCCACAGGGGTCCCTACTCCCCATTCCTGGGTTCAGAAAACTAGGGTGACCTGCAGAAAACCAACCAGGATATTTTCTCTCAGACTCTCCCACTGACCACTGTGGGGAGACAAAACAGCTAACTCATAATTTTTTAACTTGGGAGGGGTTGAGAGGTACGACTCATTCACCAGGAGTACAGTCAAGGGGGAGGAAATCTGCCCTGAGATCCCAGTCTTCTAGGCTCTTGCAGAGGGAAACATGTCCCAGGTTGAGGCCACCTGCCCCTTGGCCGGGGGTGGGGGTGGGGCTGCCGGTGCCCTCTAAATTCTCTACCCTGGGGCAAAGCTCTGAAGGTCTGCCCTAGTTATACATACCCCTGAAGGCAAATGGTAAACTGAGAATATCTTTTCATTATAACCCTGAAGAACTGATATTGTTTTCCCCTCAGCCCCACTCCTTAGAAGCAATCAAGAATATTTGTGACTTAAAGGCTTCCATCAGATCCATCTTCTTCTCACCTCTTCACTTCACGTTTTCCTTTCCTCACCCTCAAACTCAACGGTACCTTTTAACCTCTCCATGGCTAAAGAAGTGTCTGGGCCAATTCTCCATCTTCCTCACTTCCAACTAGCAAACCAGAGCTGTCTCTGCTTGGTTGAGGAAGTCTTAAGATCGAGGGTGGCCAGCTCCATGAAAAATATGGTTAAGATGCTACCAAGGAAAGAGAATTCAGACAAACTGATTCTAGTTCCAGCCCTGCTGGTGAATGGCCATGGTACCTACCTTGTGGACCCTAGGAGTTTCCTCTTCTATCAAAGGGAATACCTGCTGGTCTGCTTAAAAGGGTGTTAAAAAAGATCACACAAGACAACAGGCACTCACATTTTATGTTTTAAGGTTTTCTCAAAACCAGGAAGACCTGGTTTCAAGTCCTGCCTCTGACACAGGCTAACTGTATGAGCCTGGGCAAGTCACTTAACCTGATGCTTTGGCAACCAGGACTCTGCATTGCAGAACAAGTGCCAAACTACATTGGTATGCCAATGAAATTCCAGGTCTGGTTCCTAATCCGATCCCTAAGGTTTACAAAATGCTTTCCTTATAACCCCAAGGTAGGATGGCGGAGTCAGGAAACCTGGGTTCCATTCGCAGTTACTGCTATTTACTGAACGTGCAACACCCCAGCAGGTCACATAAACTCCTTCCAATTCATGAGGACGATGGGTGGAATGTGCCTTTGAAAAATCCTAAAACAATGTAGACGTGGAAAGGAGTGACAGCTGTGGCTGGGGAGGGGGGCGGCATTCAAGTGCTGGGGTGGGGAGGACAGTGAACCTTTAGATTTAGAGCCAATTATCTTGGCCAGGGTGGCTAGTCAGGTCCCAGAGTCAAGATCTGAGTTCAAATCCAGCCTCGTACACTTACTAGCTGTGTGACCCTGGGCAAGTCATTTAACCCTCTTTGCCTCAGTTTCCTCATCTATAAAATAAGCTGGAGAAGGAAATGGCAAACCACTCCAGTACTTTTGCCAAGAAAACCCCAAATGGGGTCACAAAAAGTCAGACACAACTGAAATGACTGAAGAACGATCTCTAGGCCAATCTTTGTTTTACAGAAGAGGGCACCAAGGACCAGTGAAGCAGCGATTTGCCCAAAGTCGAACAGATGGTAAACGACGACATGAGGATTCCAACCCAGGTTGTGTATGCCCAAACCCAGCATTCACTGCTGTACCACATGACCAGCCCAGAGAGCCCTGAAGGCAATCTGTAGTGGGGCCGAGACCAGGCCATGATCTGAAAAGTGAATGAGGGGTTCACTCCCTCTGCCTCTGTATCTCTGGCTCTGGGTGTCTGGTCCCCCACCCCCTCCCCTAATAAAACAACGGGGTGTCTGCGAGCCCCCGACTCACGCTTCAGTGCAGGTTTATTTGTTTCAATGTTTTATTCCAGGCAAGTGCTTTTACATGGGGAGTATTCATGTCCCGATACCTAAAGTCTTAGAGCATGAACAGCCACTAGAATACAGCTCAATAGTAAAAATACAATATGTACAAAATTAGGGTTTTTGTAGGGGTTTTTTTTTGTTTGATTTTTTTCACACAGCAGATGTATCCAAACACATAAAAATCTCTACAGTCCGGGGTCTCGAGGGTTCAGATTTCCGGAAACAGAGACACAGTGACTGAGTCCTCACTGTAAACAAGGGCCACCTCTTTGGGGAGGGGGGCGCACCCTGAGGAGGGACGGGGGCTCATCCTGGAGAGGGCAGGGCCTAAGTGTGGCCCCAAAGCACCCCACTGTGCTTGCCCTGCCCACTGGCCCCCTGAGGACCCAAGCCCATCGAGGTAAAGACTCCCAGCCAGTGAGCCACTTAGAGAACATAAAAAAATAAAATAAGCATGAGAGGTAAGATGTGTGAGTGTCTGTGGGTGTCTGTGTGAGTGTGTATGTGTGTGTGTCCCAAGTCAGAAGGTCTGGAGAGAGAGGCAGGGCTCAGTGTCCCAAGGGTGGGGCAGGGAGGGCCAGGGCTAGGCCTGGTCCTGGTGGCTGCTGAAGGAGACACTCCACAGGGATGTGGCTAGGGAAGCAAGGGGACAACAGCCCCCCAGTGGTACAGCATCACAGCGTTCACCAGAAAACAGACCACAACATCGACGATACCCACCGGAGCCACTCGAGACACGGTCAGCACAACACAGACCCCCGCCCCAGGTGCCTGGGGGGCAGGATGAGGTATCTGGGCACGAGCCCCGGGAGGGGGGGGGAGGCACAATTTCAATTCCATTCTTGTCTGGCCATGAGCGCTGGTGGCTGATGGAGGGGGAGGGGAAGGAGGAGAGGAGAGGCCAGATAGCCGAGCCTCCCCACCCACCCTCTCCAGACAGAGCCACCTGCCTCCACACCCTCCCACCCTGCCCCGCCCCGCCCCCAAGGACCTAATGCCTACAAGGCTGCTCCTCCTAGGACAAAGTGGAGCTGATGACTCCGAAGACGATAATGGGAGGCCACGGGGTGGAGGCTGAACCCGGAAGGAGAGAAGCTAGGCATGAGTAATATGTGCTGGTAACATCTAGGCCGGCCCCTCTCCCAAGGCCAGGGGCTGAATGGAACGGCCTGCTTGTACATTCCCCAAAAGGCAACTACAGCAAGCAGAGGAAGGAACTGCCTAAAATCTCCCAGTCCAAAGAGGGAACTGAAAGTGGGTCTGGAGGCAATCAGGGCTGCCTTCCAGGCAGATCCACTCTGGGGTCTTTGAGGCGATCACGTTGCCCCACGACACCATACCTAGCCAACCCAGCCTCCAGCACGGCACTACACACGTGAGACGTAGAGCCCCACGGCTTCCCGACAGTGCTTTCTACCCGAGGGCACACACCCGGGAAGTCCAGGTGCCCGACACAACTCCCATGAAGGCAACGAGTACATGAATATAGATGTGCCTCAACGGGTGTCTGAGTGTACATGTACGCGCACGTGTTTTACACAAGGTCACTTGTAATAACTATGTGAAAAGAGACGAGAAACCAACGCTAGTCCAAAGTAGACTCACTAGCAGGGAGGGCCGAGGAAGCAGGCCCCTCCCTCCCCCATCTTAAGCCCCACTTCCAGCCCTAGCTCTTTGGGAGCTGGGGTTGGGGGAGACAGGGCAGAGGGCTGGGCAGTCTCTTTCCCCTTCTTTCCCCTCTGAAGGGATGCCTGAGAGCCATCCTCAGGGAGAAACTGAGGCAGCAGGATGCTAAGGTGACTGTTCCCCAGGCTCAGTCCGAAGCATCAAAAGTAAACCAGAGAGGTGAAAGAAAGAGGGGTGCAGGAAGGTAGAGGACAACCAGAAGGAAAGGGGGGGTCCAGGCTACAGTTACTGCCCATTTTTTAGTCTTAATGTCAAAAAGGCCAGTTTCTGATGTGATCCCCAGTCCTTCCCAGGACCTAGAAGGATGCCTGGACCTATGCAGGAGCTGGGAGTAGGGTCATCATTGCAGATTCACCTCCCCATGGGTGTCACCATCTGGCCAAAGGGTCTCCTGAACTCAGCCCAGAGAAGAATCCAGGACCCCAGAACCCAAACCACAAAGCCCTTCCTCAAATTCAATGCAGTGGGGGAGGGGCACCAAGAAGCACATACGCATACCTGCACACAGACATATGCACACAGACTGAGCATGCACAGATACACACATGCACACATGTCCACCTATCGGAGCAAAGGAAAGGAGAGGGGACTTGGGAGGTATGGATCCAGACCCTTGCCTCCCTCCTCCCATGCTCGGTCTCTCTTCCCTACCCCTGAAAGGATCTGCCTGGGGGAGAGGGCCCAGAGAAGAGCGGAGAGAAGGGAAGGATCCAGGTCCAGGGACGCGCTCTCAGGCCCCATCTCTGAATCTACATCCACATTAGGGCTAGGGAGGCCCAGATCCATAGGGACTACATGGGGCCCACCCCAGAGGCCCCAAATCAGCCTGGCGTCCTAAGGTCAATCTGTCACTGTATCTTCCTCAAGAGCAGGGGTCAGGGATTTGGGCAGTGGAGTGGAGGGTAGAACACACCGGCAATGAACCCCCATGGGAATCTCCCTGGTTTTCTCTTTCATTTGGTTTATTATTAGTAGAGAATTGTCTTAAATAGTTTCTACTGTAACAAATCCTAGTGACCTCAGATGGATCAATCAGACTAGCGGAGGCTGAGGGAAAGGGTGTTGGGGCAGCCCCAGATATTGGGGCCCATATTTAACTTCCCCCTCCCACCCAGCTCCTCTGGCCCATCACTGTGTTCACAGCAGCCCCCACCCCAGATCTCCACGTAATGGTTATCCGGACAAAATGACCTCAACAGCACACCCCTGGCCCAGGCCTGGCTAGAGAGCCCCCGGGGTGTGGGTGGAGAGGGCCCCCAGAGCTCAGCCACCTCACCCTAGAGAGCAGTAGCAGCATCAGCAGCACACGAGGGGGGACAGGGAGGAGGGAGGGACAAGGGACGAAAACCAAGAACGTCACATCCACAGCTCACTGATTACACTGAGGGGAGGCGAGGCAGGGACAGAACGGGAGGAGAACGGAAATCGAGGCAGCCACCAGAGCCACGGGGACCACGCTCACCAAAGTGTCTCTTGGGTTTTTTGTCAAGTCCAAATGCAGCTGGGCCAGGCCTTTTCCCCTGGTGCCCTCCTGGCCCAGCTCAGAGTGGGGAGAAGGGCACACCCCCATCCCTTCTCTTTTCTCTCTGGGCTCAGTCTCTGCACCCTGCCCTTCCCCTGAGGGCAGGGGAGGGGGCTGGGCTGGAATGTGTGGAGCTGCTTGGTTGGGGGGGGTGCCAGGGACCTCCGAGTGATGCCCCCTTCAGGCCAGCTTCAGGGTGCTGACGGGGAACGATGGCATGGTGACCATGGTCACTGGGTTTAGGACCGTCTGGCCCACCAGCTGAGGGTGGTGGACCACCTGGGCACCCACAGCTGGCTTGGCCACGACCGTGGCTGGTGGCCCCAGCCCGCCTGTGCCATTGACTTGCTGGTGGGAAAGGGTGTGGGCGATGTGGCTCACGGCCACTGGCTGTGGATACAGGGGCAGCTGGGAGCCCAGGTGGGCCACGTGGTTGAGGGCTGCAGGGTGGACAGTGATGTGGCCAATGGGGGGTGTGGCAGGTGCCAGCTGCACGGGGCTGGGGGCCGAAGGGGCGATGTGGGCGATGTGCTTGCCCCCCGGGCCCTGAAGCACATGGTTCACAGTCTGGATGACCGAGGCATGGGTGGTGGCCGTATGCGCGATGACCGTCGAGCCCCCTCCCGCCGCGGCCACGAGGTGGGCGGGGGCCGACACCAGGGTCTGGGCAGCAGCCGCCGGAGGAGGGGGCTTGTGCTGCAGGGCCGGGGCAGCGGGGGCAGTGCTAGGAGGCAGGGGAGCTGGTTTCAGGAGCTCAGGTTGTGGCCGCTGGCTCAGCTTGGGCAGCCCTAGGGCTGACCGGTCGTCCTCCATGTCTTCATCCATGTTGTCCTCACCTTCTGTTGGGGGGCGGCGGACAGGCCAGGAGGGGAAGAGAGGAGAAGGGAACAGGGTCAGGGAGCAGAAGAGAGCTGAGGCTGTCCTGGGGGGAGAAGGGAGGACAGACGGGGACCCTGGAGCCCGGGCGGGGGCCGTACCTGACGCGGTGGAGGTGGAGGCCTGGTCGTCCTCGGGCTGCCCCGCCTGCCGCAGCACCCGCTCCACCTCGAGTGCGTCCATCCACTGGCTGAGCTCGCGCTTCAGCTCCGCCAGCTGCTGCTGCGTGGCTATCTTCTCCCGGGCCAGTCGCTCCATCTCATGCTCATACTCCTTCTCCTTCCGTTTCAGCGTCTGAAGGACGAGGAGTTGGGGACACACGGAGGAGTCATGCTCAGCACCCGAGCGGACGACTGCCCCCGCAGCTGGCTGGATGACAGAGGTGCAACGCCTCCACGGTGGGGGCAAGGGGAGCAGCTACAGAGGCGGCTGGGGAGGGGCCACGCTTACACCCGCGGCACCGGACTTTACCTGGGGACACAGCCCAGGCACACAACCCAAACACCAGACCTCGGGAGAACCACTGGGAACCTCTGGGGCCAGGTCTGGGATTAGTGCGGATGGCAGTTGTTTCCCGAGAGCCTCGGCTTTCTCCTGAAGGTAACGCACTGCCCGTTGCCCACGTCTGTAAAGGGTATCCACGGCCCCAGCTCGATAGCGTTGAGGGTGGGCCTGGTGCTCCCTTCTGCCCCCTCCCTATTCTAGTGCAGCCTCCCCAAGATTCAAGCACCATCTTTTCTCTGGTTCCTTACATCTGAAGTCTGCAATTTTATGTTCTCACCCTCAGAAAGCCCCTTCAACCATCATTTTACCTCCCCCCACCCCCAATCCCAGCTTCTCTGATGCCTGTACCTTTCCCTCTATCCTAAACTAGAATCCCA